AAAATTTGGTTTAGTCTTATCGAGTGTAGTAATTGCTTACATGTAGAAATTTGGTAGAGAGTAAGTAACTTGTATGAATATATGTAATTATAATTATAATAAAAATCATCTTGTGAATCACTTGGAAAGTATCAAAGTTAAACTGATCATACTGCATTAACTGCTTAGCCACACAGCCTTAATGAATCAGAAATAGACTGGGCTTAAACAACGAAATTGGTATACTGAAGTTATTACTTCTAGAAAACTGATAAAGATCACTGATTAAGAAATCTTTATGCTGTTTAGTGGTGAAATTGATAACAACCCATTTAATGCACAAGTGGTGATTTACGTTATCAATTTCATAAAACATAAAATAAAAGTATCTACTTTAAATAAACTCTATATGTTACATTAACAATTTGATAAAACATTAGATAGATAATATGAAGTTATCAAATCTAAATAAACTCTACAAGTTAAATTAACGATTTCATAAAACATAAAATAAATCAAATTAAATAATCAAATTTGAATAAATTCTAGATGTGTGACACAGTTGGAAAATATAGTGTTTATTTACATTTGATTATTATATTTTATTTATTTTATGTTTTATTAAACTGTCAATATAAATCACCTCTCGCACATTAAATACATTGTTATTAACTTCATGAACTTATAAAGATCTGTCAGAACATGATATATACTCTACAGTCTGGTATTACAGTATCTTGGTGGAGTTGTGAAGATATCTCAAGACGTGTTACAGACTCTGCAGCCTAATGTCCATTATATAACTAATTCTTCATAGAGCTGTGATGATCTCTCAGGACGTGGTATAAACTCTACAGTCTGATGTATACAGTGTTACTAATCCTTAGGTGGTACAATTGAGAAGATCTCCCAAGAAATGGTATAGACTCTACAGCCTCATGTCAACAGTGTTACAAATCCTTTGTTGGAACAATTGTGAAGATCTCTCCGTACGTGATATAGACTCCACAGACTAATGTCCACAATAAAACTAATCCTTGGTACAGTTGTGAAAAGCTCTAAAGAAGTTGGTATAGACTGTACATCCTGATGTCTACAGTATTGATAATCCTTTGGTGGTATAGTTGTGAGGATCTCTCCGGACGTGATATAAACTCTTCAGTCTAATGTCGACAATGTTACTAATCCTTGGTTAGTACAGTGTGAGGATCTCTCCGGACGTGATATAAACTCTTCAGTCTAATGTCTACAGTGTTACTAAACCTTAGTTAGTAGAGTGTGAGGATCTCTCCGGACGTGATATAAACTCTTCAGTCTAATGTCTACAGTGTTACTAAACCTTAGTTAGTACAGTGTGAGGATCTCTCCGGACATGATATAAACTATAAATCCTAGTGTCCACGATATAACTAATCCTTGGTACAATTGTGAAAATCTCTCAAGACGTTGGTATAGACTGTACAGCCTGAAGTGTACATTATTACTAATCCTCGGGTGGTACAGTTGTTATAATATCTCAGGACGTGGTATAAACTCTAAAGACTGTTTTATACAGTATTGCTAATCCTCGGTACATTTGTGAATATCTCTCAGAACGTGATATAGACTCTGCAGCCTGATGTATACAGTATTACTAATCCTTGGTGGTACAGTTATGAAGATTTCTCAGGGCGTTGTATAGTCTCTAAAGCCTGATGTCTACAGCGTTACTAGTCATTGGATGATACAGTTGTGAAGATCTTTCAGGACGTGGTATCGACTCTAAAGACTGATGTCTATATTGTTACTAATCCTTGGTTGGTACAGTTGTGAAGATCTCTCAGGACGTGATATTGACTTTAAAGCCTGATCTCTACAGTGTTATTATTCCTTGGTTGGTACAATTGTGAAGATCTATCCAGACGTGGTATAGACTATACATCCTGATGTCTTCTAGAGAGATCTTCACAATTGTACCAACCAAGGAATAATAACACTGTAGAGATCAGGCTTTAAAGTCAATATCACGTCCTGAGAGATCTTCACAACTGTACCAACCAAGGATTAGTAACACTATAGACATCAGGCCATACAGTCTATACCACATCCTGAAAAATTATCACAATTATATCACCCAAAGATTAGTAATGCTGTATCCGGAGAGATCTTCACACTTGTACCAACTAAGGATTAGTAACACTATAGACATCAGACCATACAGTCTATACCACATCCTGAAAAATTATCACAATTATATCACACAAAGATTAGTAATGCTGTAAACATCAGGATGTATAGTCTATACCACAGTTATATAGACTCTACAGATTAATATCCACAATATAACTCATCCTTGGTACAGTTCTGAAGATCTCTCAAGGCGTGGTATAGACTTTAAAAACTGAAGTATACAGCATTAGTAATCCTCGGCACAGTTGTGAAAAGCTTTCAAACGTTGATATAGACTCTACAGTCTGATGTATACAGTGTTGCTAATCCTTGGATGGTACAGTTGTGAAGGTTTCTCAGGCCGTGGTATAGACTATAAAGCTTGATGTATACAGCATTACTAATCCTTGGGTCTTACGATTGTGAAGATCTCTCAAGACGTGGTATTAACTCTACAGCCTGATGTTTAGTATTACTAATCCTTGGGTGGTACAGTTGTGAAGATCTCTCAGGACGTGGTATAGACTCTACAGCCCGATGACTACAGTATTACTAATCCTTGGGTCTTACGATTGTGAAGATCTCTCAAGACGCGGTATTAACTCTACAGCCTGATGTCCAGTATTACTAATCCTTTGTTAGTAAAAATATCTCTAGACTCTACAGCCTGGTCTCTACAGTGTTACTGAACCTTCTAATGTACAGTAAGAAAAAACATATTGCTTACAAATATTGTAAAAAAAGAAAAAACTTTTAGCGAATTATCGAGTAATTTTCAATTTCTCTAACTCTGCTGTACACCTTGTCATGTTTTCCCTTTATAATCATGAGTCAATGTATTTCTAGAAAATTTGATTTAGAACATCCTTGAAAACGACGATGAAGATCAAACTAGTCATTTGTAACTACTTGCAATAATCCAACATTGATATGCACTAGTAGTTGGATAATGTTGTGAACTGTTCATGTCGCAGAGAAATTTCCCTGTACGTCCAACAAAGTAGTTTGCCCACAGACCGAGTAAAGGACGACTGTAGGAACACTTCAAATGGTTTGGAAAATTAACAGTGTTGAATCTAGACCTTTCCACCAAGTTGGGGTGGGGTGGGGTGTAAAGCAGGTGGGAATGAATTAAAATTCGACAAATTACTGTACTTTTGGAGAGGGCGAATTCCCTCCCTGTACACCCCTGAATTCAACAATGTAAATGAAAACAGAAATATTGATATGAGTCGTATTAAAATGTAATTTTTTTTTAATTTTCTTTAAAGTCAAGCTTATTTCTTTTTATCATACGAAACCTTGAGGATTTTTATTTCACGTATTTTTAAGTTGACACAAAACTACAATGATTTTCGTGTACAAGATTTGATATGCGACCGATCAGGCGATGTTAGAAGTTATTGGTCTGTTTGATGAACCATAAAATAATCATAATACATTACTATACACGTCTTGATTTGTTCTGTTCTGTCTTAACGCGACAATACTTCAAGCGTCTATATCTCTATCAACAAAGAAATGAAGCAATTTCAACTTATGAATTTCGAAAAAAAAAAGAAGAGATAAAGTTATTCACTAATATATGTAGTTTATACTACAGCACACCCTAGTGGAATTTTATGTTTATTTCAAATTTTTACGAAAATCAACATAATGGATGTATGTACATAGCTGTCCCCACTTTTAAAATTACAGGTTAGATCGAAGGCAACTAATCAACAGCACCCACCACCAACTCTTGGGTCACTTTTTTCTGACCGAATAGTGTGCATGGACTTGACTGTCACTCTTATAGTGCAGCCATGTCGAGAGTGCGGCTCACTTTCTTTATGTCAACAGGACGCACTTGTGAACCCCCGGATTCACAGTCCGGGAACGTTAACATATAGCCATGCCTGGCTGAGGAATATTAAGATATCTGACTCATAAGACTCTTAAAAAGTAGCCTTTACTAGTTATAGCTGTGTATCGTGAATTAAAGCTTTTTGGCGAATGATTAAACCTACACGAGTATTGCAATTAAACGATGAGTTGTTTAGAGCATTATATTGGTAATTCAACGAATTCGAATACAAAAATATGTCCAGACAACATGGTCGCAAGTGTGTGAAAAGCAACGTTAAGAATCTAGATAAAAAACAAATGATGATTTGAAAATTGTAAAGTTTCTGTTTCTACAGAAGAGGGGAACGTTGAAAAATTTACAGTGTGGTATACAGTACCTGTTGTCAACTCACATATACAAACCTCTTGTAATCAGAGTTTATGTAGCAAATATTTTCTGGAGATGATTTGAGTGACTAGATTCGTAACGTGAGGTTATTAATGGTAATATTTATCTAACTATTCACGTGCTAATCAAACAATTTGGAAAAAAAAATGATTTGTACAATAGAAAGTTAATGAATTATTTTCTTTACTTCATAAAAAAGGAGTCGATGGACATGTTCTGGAGTAGTTTTGATTGTTCTTTTATTTCGGGATACATGCTTTTTTGCAGGTTTGTAATTGAACGAGAGCTGGATTACTCTTACAATCTCTATCACGACTCCAAGCGTGTCAGAAAATAGCTCTAGGTATTTTATTTAATAAACACTAATATATCTATATTTTTTCTTCTTGTTTTGAATCCTTGATTCATATTAACTGACTATGCTTCTGGGAGAAGATATTGTAAAACTTTGGAGATGACTTTTTTAAGTGTCTTGAAAAGTGCTCGGGAGCGATACGTTTATGGTATGGGTTACTATTTATAAACGCGCGAAACTGTATATATATATATATACATATATACATTATTTACTATTGAGAAGAATAGTTTGATTTAATTTTAAAAACAAAGTGTGGGAGTCGGAACAGCCGAATCTCACCTTTCTCATCTTGCTGTCGTGCGACATGCTATCAGCTATCAATCGCAACTGACGTCCAATTTGCACAACATTTGTCGAACGAAGCTTCAAGGAAGACGTAACGACATCGGGTAAATCTCTCATCCATGAACCGTCACGGTAGATGGTGTTAGTTCCAATCAAAGCGTCTGAAATGTTTCATATAAAGAAACAAGGCAGATTAATTATAAATATACGTATACTTTCTAATATGTAATATCTTGACTTTCAATGCTGTTTCTGAATGGTTTTTTTTTTCTAATTCAACAGTGTCGAAGAATACTAGAACAATAACTTTTATGGTGTGATAATTTTTTTTTAAATTTAACTTTCCACAATAGAACAGATTTAGGTTTCTCGACATTTACAATCTGCCACACTAAAACCCTTTTAAAACCCTCAAAGTTTACATAAGGTACATAAGTAAGTTTACAGAGTCAAATCGAGATTTCAAAAAAATTTTAACTGTTGACAAGGCGTTGTTATCGTCCTGTATGAGTATGTGGCTTTACTATAGTGGTTTCACTAATACGTATCCAAACTTTACTATAGTGGTTTCACTAATACGTATCCAAACTTTACTACGGTGTTTTCACTAATACGTATCCACATTTTACTACGGTGGTTTCACTAATACGTATTCACACTTTACTACGGTGTTTTCACTAATACGTATCCACACTTTACTACGGTGGTTTCACTAATACGTATCCACACTTTACTACGGTGGTTTCACTAATACGTATTCACACTTTACTACAGTGTTTTCACTAATACATATTCATACTTTCTTTTTTCTTGCATCAATTTCATAAAAACATGTATTTAAATAAGAAAATTATGCTATTATAGAATCACCCAGGTTTTTTACTGTTGGAAATAAGTAGTTTTTTAACATGTTAATAGAATTATAGTTTTAATAGTACGGTGGACTGCCACGCTTCTGGACAGAAATGCCACTTGGATTGTTTTTAATTCAAGCTCATGATTTCTTAATCAGTTTAATTTCTTGAAAAACAACAGCAAGAAACATTTTTTTCGCTTTTTTCCTCAGACCCAAGTTTGTAAGCAAAACAAAATCTCTTAGAACTGCGTAAATACGAAAGTCTCACAATTTTAAAGGTGTGACGGTTTAAATGGTCTTTTTTTCTACAATCTATATCACATTGGAACTTGAGTAATAGTTCTTTTAGAAACTTCAAACTTACTTTAACCTTCTTTTCAGTCAGAGTAAGAACAAAAATATTTATGAAGTCTACATGTATTTAGTATGAATTTTTATGTTTGGTACTAATATACGAATTAATTTTATGCAGAAATACATAAATTTACCCTTTCATTAACCTAGAAGAAAATTAGTTTACCATAGCGTAACATCAGAGAAAATATGGTTGTATATTTTGTATTACAATAATAGGTCTGAATACAGAATAATCGTAAATGTTTTAAGAGTTTGGATTGAAATCCTAGCAAGTAACAGTAAGGGGACAACATACCCATAGTGTTTTCACAGTTTGGATTGAAATCCTAGCAAGTAACAGTAAGGGGACAACATACCCATAGTGTTTTAACAGTTTGGATTGAAATCCTAGCAAGGAACAGTAAGGGGACAACATACCCATAGTGTTTTAACAGTTTGGATTGAAATCCTAGCAAGGAACAGTAAGGGGACAACATACCCATAGTGTTTTAACAGTTTGGATTGAAATCCTAGCAAGTAACAGTAAGGGGACAACATACCCATAGTGTTTTAACAGCTTGGATTGAAATCCTAGCAAGTAACAGTAAGGGGACAACATACCCATAGTGTTTTAACAGCTTGGATTGAAATCCTAGCAAGGAACAGTAAGGGGACAACGATACCCATAGTGTTTTAACTAGCTTAGGATTGAAATCCTAGTCAAGGAACAGTAAGGGGACAAC